CGGACCCATTACGGATGCAGGCAATAAGGCAGTGATCGCTGAGATCCTGGTTGAAGACAGCGGAGGTGTATTTAGAGGGTAAATTTGTCAGGATGATATCTATGAGGGTACCCATGTTTACAGATTTTGGGTTGTACCTGGTAGGTTCATTGATAATTTGTGTGAGATTGAGGGCATCTAGTTTAGATTGTAGGTTGGCCGGGGTGTTAAGCATATCCCAGTTTAGGTCACCAAGCAGTACGAACTCTGAGGATAGATGGGGGGCAATCAGTTCACATATGGTGTCCAGGGCACAGCTCGGGGCTGAGGGGGGTCTGTAGCAAGCGGCAACAGTGAGAGACTTATTTCTGGAAAGGTGGATTTTTAGAAGTAGAAGCTCAAACTGTTTGGGCACAGACCTGGATAGTGTGATAGAGCTCTGCAGGCTATCTCTATAGTAGATTGCAACCCCACCCCCTTTGGCAGTTCTATCGAGACGGAAAATGTTGTAGTTGGGGATGGACATTTCTGAATTTTTGGTGGCCTTCCTAAGCCAGGATTCAGACACTGCTAGAACATCAGGGTTGGCTGAGTGTGCTAACGCAGTGAATAACTAAAACTTAGGGAGGAGGCTTTGGATATTAACGTGCAAGAAACCAAGGCATTTACGGTTACAGAAGTCAACAAATAATAACGCCTGGGGAGTAGGAGTGATACTGGGGGCTACAGGGCCTGGGTTAACCTCTACATCACCAGAGGAACAGAGGAGGAGTAGAATAAGGATACGGCTAAAGGCTTTAAGAACTGGTCTTCTAGTGCGTTGGGTACAGAGAAAAAACGGGGCAGATTTCCGGGCATTGTAGAATAGATTCAGGGCATTATGTACAGACAAGGATATGGAAGGATATGAGTACAATGGAGGTAAACCTAAGCGTTGGGTAACAATGAAAGAGATAGCATCACTGGAGGCACCAATTGAGTCGGTCTCCACGTGTATGGGGGGTGGGACAAAGGAGCTGTCTAAGGCAGGTTGAGCTGGGCTGGGGGCTCTACAGTGAAATAGTACAATAAGAAATAACCGAAACAGCAATAAGCAAGGCATATTGACATGGGAGAGAGGCATAAAGCAATCACAGGTGTTATTCGAGAGAGCTAAGACAACAGCTGGTAATGGCGACAAAGTTTGGGCTGAGGCTAAACATAAACAGGATGCGGTACCGTATAAAGGAACAATCCAGCAGGCATCAGCTCTATAGCTGAGTTATCATAAGGTCCAGTGAACAGCAATAGGAGAGTTCGGAGGTAGTTCGGGGGCTGCTACAGCACTGGCGAGCAAGAGGCCCGGCTTGCGTGTGCTAGCGGGCCGGGGCTAGCAGATGGATCTTCGTGGTCGACGTCGTAACGGGAAGCCTGTTGAAACCACATCAGATGATTTCGTCTGTAAACCAGTCGTGTTGGATCGGCGGGGCTCCGTGTCAACACTAGGAGGTCCCGTCCGGTTGACAGAGAGGTAGATAGCCGGGAGATGGGCCTGGCTCGAGGCTAGCTCAAGGCTAACTGGTGCTTGCTAAGGGGCAATGGTAATTAGCCAACGACAACAGCCATTTGGTTGCAGCTAGCTGGTTACGATGATCCGGCGCTAGGGTCCAGTGATTCCGGCAGAAAATCCGATATGCTCTGGGTCGATAGCACGCTGTGCAGACTGGCCGACAAATTGTCCAGGCTAGACCTAGAGCTGGCTGGTGGGTAGTGCAGGCCACGGACAATGGTGAAGACGCTAACAGTGGCTAATAGCAAGTAGCCATTCGGTTGCAGCGAGACTAATTTCAGCTTAAGGTGAATACCTGTTGTATTTGGCGCATGTGGCAAATAACATTTGATTTGATTTGATTCGATTTGGACCCGTCTGTTGTAGACTCACTTTCTCTCTGCTTACTTGCCTCATGTCATAATTAAAGTCCTGCAGGTGCGCCATTCCTTGAAAATAAAATAAAAAAGCATGAACTTGTGGATAACTTTTATTTTGATATGAGGTAAGCAGAGAGGAAGTGACCTCGCTGAGGAACTGCATGTTTCTACAACAGTTGTTGTTCCGGGCAAAGTATTAGGATTACTGTGAACGTAGGTCCATGTGCATCGAAGTGTTTCTCTCTTTCTCTTTAACTCGCCATCTTTTGTAACAAGTGTCATATTGTGTTAGTCCGCTAGGGACCCGTTTTCATTGTATTAAATGTCTAATCCCTACCTATAACGTGTACGTGTTTGTATCTTGTGTTACAATTTTTTATTAGTTAGTAAATAAATAATTAAATCAATTTGTGTGGTATGGAATGATCAGTAAGACCCGCGTTCGTGCAGATTTAAAGAGTCTACGACTTTCAGAATGAGACTGATATAAGGTCAATGATTAATACATGACTGTTAAATGATAAGCGATATCTAGATAGCTTTAGAGTTAATTCGAGAAACGGTAACTCGTTAAATAACTTTTCCTGTGGCGCCCCAAATTCCTAATGAGTTAATTGTTACATGATTAATTTAATCTAGTAACAATTAAACATAGTAGGTAATTTTCAATAAATAATAGTCATCACAATAATGAAAGGCACGTCACGGCATATGTATTATAGTACTGTGTCAATGTATTTCTCCAGTTTTGTGGGCAGCTTAGTGCACTTCGATGCCTTCAGTTCAGAGGAAACACCACCCTTACCAATGGTTTTACAGAACTGTTAACTGCCAAGAGGCATCAAGACACTGTTTTCACTGTCTCCAAATAATTAACGATTCTCAAACTTCTCATTTGCCAGATGAGTTGACCGATGAGAAATCAGTCAAACCCTTCCTAGCTTACCTGCCTTAGTGAATGAATGAATGAATGAATGAATATGTGAAAAATAAGGATATATTTTTTACCGAACAAAAGGTTTAGAGAAGGTTAAGTTTGAAATGCATCACAAAATATGATGCGTTAGGTTTACAATAAGTAAAATTTATGTATGTTCTCTGTTTCACACACATCTATGCCAATAAACGGTAATAAAATATGACAGTTGATACTTTAATTAAACCTAAGGATTCAAAATGTCACTTTCTGTATTTTGAAGTTCTATATCTTGAAAACTTGATTGCTGACATGCAAAACATTTTGGGACTGTTTAACTAGTGGACTAATGAAATGAATACCAAAATATTGTTTTTGAGTGGTATTTTCCTGTAATACTTTGATTTAGTATTTATGGCTAATTGAGTGCATTTATATGAAAACATCAACCTGTGGAGAGCGTCTACCTGCTATTAACGGTATTCAATATAATTTTGTATCCATATGCTACAGTGAAAGGCTACAGTGCAATTTTGATTGAATTATGCAGTGGATAGCAGTCTGCTAACACAAGAGAATGAGAGAGGGAGATTCTCGTTTGGGCAAAAGACCATCCTCTCTCCTCCGTCCTCTCTCCTCCGTGACCCGGAAACCGATAAGTGGCCGAGTGGTCGAGGAGAGTGTCAATTTGTTAGTAGGCAAACGGAAGAGTGTCCTCCCCTCCAGTGGTGGAAAAAGTACCCCAATTGTCATACTTGTGTAAAAGTAAAGATACCTTAATAGAAAATGACTCAAGTGAAAGTCACCCAGGAAAATACTACTTCAGTAAAAGTCTAAAAGTATTTGGTTTTAAATATACTTAAGTATCGAAAGTATATGTAATTGCTAAAATATGCTTAAGTATCAAAAGTAAAAGTATAAATCATTTCCTTATATAAAGCAAACCATACTGCATCATTTTCTTATTTTAATTTATGGATAGCCAGGGGTACACTCAAACACTCAGACATCATTACAAATGAAGTATGTGTGTTTAGTGAATCTGCCAGATCAGAGGTAGTAGGGATGACCAGGGATGTTCTCATGATAAGTGTGTGAATTGGACCATTTTCCTGTCCTGCTAAGCATTAAAAATGTAACGAGTACTTTTGGGTGTCAGGGAAAATGTATGGAGAAAAAAGTACATGATTTTCTTTAGGAATGTAGTGAAATAAAAGTCAAAAATATTAATAGTAAAGCACAGATACCCCCCAAAACTACTTAAGTAGTACTTTTTAAAGTATTTTTACTTAAGTACTTTACACCATTGCTCCCCTTCTTAGCCACCTTTCATCGAGGATACTCACATTTGCGGAAAAGTTTTGAAATCTGCCACACCCCCTTTGTTTTGACAGAGGAGAAAAACAGGCACACGTTTAAAAACAATATGCTACTTATTGTTTTATCTATAAAATGTCTTGCATTACTAACTTAATTTGTTTTGAGCACTTTACTTTATTTTGGGATCCACACACTCTAAACGTCATTTGCCTAATGACTTGTGAGTGGAGAAGGACGGTCTCATTTCAAGCATGTGCATTTCCATCCACGTTTACTCTCCTCGCAGACTCTCCTTGATTAACTTTGACCTTTTTCTAAAGGAGGCGAGAGAGGACGGGGGAGAGGACACAGGAGGCGAACAAACTAATTGATAAAAGGCCAGAGAATAGGACACATTTTTCCCAATGTTAGACAAGCCCCCTCTGGTGTTGGCATCAGGTACTACATTAACTCCAATCAGATTTTTTCAACCCAAAGCTTTATTATGATTACTTTCATAAATGTGTTAAAAAAGTTAAATTAGCATCATACTATTTTGAAGCACTTGGTAAGTTTTCAAATGACACCAACTCTGTATATTTGAATTATTCAAACGTTCAAATTATATTCCTCATTGACTTTAAATTATGATTTTGTTGAATTTCTACAAAATATGAAATACTACATTTCATCACATTTTTATTGAATCTTTACAAGGAATGACATCCCATATCCCACTAGAAAGGCTTTCTAAGATACTTTCTTTTACCTTTGAAAAATACCTCCGTTAACTTGACGATGACATCACTTTTAGAGACACCTTTGACGGGAAGATCTGTATGAATCCAGGTTCACTGGCGTCTTTACATTTTCCAATAGAGAAGTATGGGAAGAGTCTTTAATTGAATGTGTCTTTGTGAGTGTAGATTTGGGACATGTCACGGGGGTCATAGAAGGACAATTCCCCTCCGCTGTAGTCGAGTTGCACCATAATCCTTTGGGCTCTCCTCTTCAGAGCAAGAAGTTTAGCCTCTGGATCTGTATACTCAATATTTTCCAAACCTAGAGCTCAGATTCCATATTTCGGTTTTGCGAATGTCCTATCTTTTCTGTTGATTGACTCTTTAGCCACACCCAAATTCCAGCTGGGGTGGTTCCCCACCTCCACCTCCCAGCTGTGCTTTCCTGAGGTGAACCCTTCAGAACCCAAAACATTTGCGTTAAACGTGCATCGGTCCGGATTATCTGGCAGCTTCTGCTGCATGCCTGTGTTTCACACACTGTTCAGATCATCAGACAAAGTGAGAAAGCTGGGAGAAGTGTTGGGTTCCAGAATCACAGGAGCTTAAAGATAAGGAAATACTATGTCTATACAATGTTTAACTTTTCTTTGGTATAGCTACATCATGAAAACGGACTATAAAGACAAGTTGTGACACAAATACAATTTTCTGTTAAACCTACTCTATCATCGACAATACATCATATTAATCACAAACATATTCTATTTTCAGTGTTATTCACTGTGGTTAACAATCACCAGCATCTTCTTCCAGAGTCTAAATTTGAGATTACCCAGGTGTTTGGCCACATCTATGAGCACTCCCGATAGAATCTTTGGATCCTGTGGTGTGCACTGCAGCTGGGCCCTACAACTATAAAGCATAATAATGGGTGAGTGTTATTCTTACCTTGTAAGGAGTCAATGGACAAGGAAAGAGTCCTAACCTCTAATGTTAGCATTTTAACCAAAAAACAAAGGAAATCAATAAACCCGATATCAACATGTTTTAAATCAATGCCCAAATAATCTCAGAGATATTTCAAACCAAGTCATTGAGCTACACAATCCTCTCAGAAAGTTTAGTTATGATTGGTTTGTTTATAATTGCGCTTACTGTCTATACGTTTTTTTAAATAAATGTAGGAGTAGCACTTATCAATTAAGAGTATGCTTTGATTTATTGCTAATCCAATATGGCTGCTTGATTTCGTATTTCTGCTCAATCATTGCATGCATTCATGATGTACATTGGTGTGTTCCAGTGCAATTGTACTCGGGTTGAGCTTGGCACCAAGCTTCATCCAGCAATTCATGAACACCACCCATTAAAATATTGAGATGGGATTTTTAGGCCATATCGTTTATGTGTAAGAAGAGTCAGTTATCTATATTAGTAACAAACAGATACTGTATGATATTGGGAAATAAAAGATGTTGGACATACCTCATTTGGATGCTTTTGTAGCTCTAGCAAGATAAGAAAGAGAAAAACACAATTTTAATGATATTATGCTATAATATAGTCAAGAACACATTGGAAAATCCTATGGAGAAAACAACCGATTATACCTTAGACAAGGAAACAAATCTGAAGCCATCATCATAATGGATCCTATCCCAACAGCTGCAGTAATGTCCCTCTATTCTAATCAGCACCAGCTCCTTGGGGGTATTGGTCACCCACAATCATACTGATTGCACTGCATATTGTTGTGGTGATAAGATTATCTAATCCTTACCCTCAAACTGAACTGAAAGCATTGCATGTCCGTTTCCTAACTAACAGATGCCACATGCAATGTTTGTAGTCTAGTTTTGGGATTACTGTGTACATACCTTCAGAAAGCGCAAATCCTGCTTCTTTAAGCCTTGTTCCAAAGTAGTGATACTCTTTGTAAGAGGTGAGATTTGGTCTTGAATGATCTTCATTTCTGTGGTCCTCTTCCTTCCTCAGTTCACCTAGTCTGGCCTTCTCTTCATCTCTCAGAAATGGGTGGAGCTTCTCAAACTCCTCCTTTATCTGTCACTCAGTGTCCACATTTACATTTTAGTCATTTAGCAGACGCTCTTATCCAGAGCGACTTACAGGAGCAATTAGGGTTAAGTGCCTTGCTCAAGGGCACATCGACAGATTTTTCACCTAGTCGGCTTGGGGATTAGAACCAGCGACCTTTCGGTTACTGGCACAACGCTCTTACCCACTAAGCTACCTGCCACCCCACCAATTGTGTCTATGAAAATGAAGCATCTTAATTAACGAAAATACCTGGTTGGGGCTGGAAATATCATGATTTTGGTAGGAAAATAGAATAATCCATAGAACATTTTAGAACAATTAATAGAAAACACAATAAATTAACCAATTTAAAAAGCACAAAGCTAAAAAGTATGTTCAATTTATTTCAGATAAAGGACTATATTTGTATTTTATTTTTGGGCTTCCATTGCCAATACACTTACCTTTCTTTGTGTGTTGAGCAATATGCTTCTATTTCCTCTCTGTCTCAGTACATATCTTCAGCTTGTCCTGCAGAGGCTTTAGGTCCAGCTTCAGCTTTTCCTGAGTGACATTGTATGGGTTGTTAATATAGCCATTTATCGTTTCGTACAACTTCATTCACAAAACTACATTCACATTCACTGGTCACTTCATATACTGTTTATATACTGTTTCTTACTCAATATGTACAGTATGTACTGTATTTTTGACATAGCTCATCCTAATATACAGTGCCTTCGAAAGTATTCACACTCCTTGACTTTTTCCACATTTTGTTGTGTTTCAGCCTCAATTTAAAATAGATTAAATTGAGATTTTGGTGTCACTGGCCTACACACAATACCCCCCCCCCCCCCCCCCCAAAGGCGGGTGGTCACTCACTCCTGGCAAGCTCGCTCGTTGTCCCACTGTGCCGCCCAACCAAATTATCTAAAGGTAAGCAGACACCTGTTATATCTAAAGTCTGTAATTTGAATAAAGCACTGTGTGGTTGTTGACTCATTCTGACACGTAAGTGGCACCTCACTCACACTATGCTGTTCATTTAAGAGACGAAACCTACATTGGGGTATATATTGATTTATTACTGAATTATTAATAGACAAACCTGTTGGACACTGACACAGACCACCTAGGTGATAGTTAGAAATTCCTAGGTGTGAATATGTATATGTTGACTTGGTGATAGGATTCAGGGCAAATCCAAGTATAAAGCCAATGGTTATATGAGTAAAGGCCTGTAATTGAGTGACAGGACGTGTCATGAGCCTCTCACTCCACCGGGTTACCACCTTTATTTTCTTCCACTCTGCTCACCACTCTCTCTACTCAGCCTAACTAGCTCCACCTGTCCCTGCTCTGCTCTGCTCTAATTACTCTGCCAGCTGCGCTGCATTACCCACTACCTCTCCCAGTATTTAAGGCCCTGTCTTTCAGCTCTCCGGTGTCAGATCGTCTGCAAAGCTCACACCCGGAACCTGTTTGCTCGCGCTTCTGGCTCACCCTGGTTTTGTGACCCCGGACCTGCCTGATTTTTGGATACTCTTCTGCCCCAGGAGATCCAGACCTGCTTCTGCCATAACGACTCCTGACTACTCTTCAATCCCGGTAACTCTGACCAGCCTTCTGCCTTGCTACTACGTATTTGATTCCTTGA